GAGTTAGGTCAATGAACTCCCAAAAAGAATGATAGAATGAAATTGTGATTATAACTACTAACTATATTTTTCATAATTTTTTTTTAATTTTCAAAGGCAACTTGTAATTTTCAGCTCGTAATTTGTAAAGTGCATTGAGATTATGATGGAATGTGCCACATAAAAATATATTATTATTATTATTATATTATTATTATTATTATTATTATTATTATTATTATTATTATTATTATTATTATTATTTTTTATTTATTTTATTTTATTTTTTTGCTCTTACCAGCTGGTTTCACCGTGGGCTGGAAGAAGAAGCTGCTCCCAGAGCTGGCTGTGGTCAGTGTGGCCAGACTGTCTGTCTTGACCAGTGTCTGTGGAGACTCAGCCTGGGTCTCTCCCTGCTCTCTGGCCCTCTCTGCCTCCCTATCTTCCTCCTCTGCCTTCTCCAACACTGCCCTCATCAGCTTGGTGATGTCTGCCGCAGAGTCATGTCTTCTCTGCAGGACTCTGTAACAAAAAATTCGAGTAAATTTTTCTCTTTAAGAGTCAAAATAATCATCAACTCCTCTGTCCTATTTGACATATTAAAAATTATTTTTCTTTTGTTTTTTAAAAAAAGAGTCAATTATACCTACATTGCCAATGTTTTTCTTTTAACAATACAAACTTACTGACTGACATTATAATCAATGATAAAAAAAGATAATTAAAAAAGATAATAAAAGTGCAGCTTACAATATTCAATAAATCTTTTATATAATTCAACAGGTAGAATTTGACATGTACCACCTCCCGCTCAGGCAAGGTCTATAAGACACAGACTTAATCATATCTCCATCTTCAGATTTTTGACAACCAAGGTCATTTCAACCACAGGCCCTACAAAGTCCAGCCCTTAAGCTTGTTTACTTGATTTAAACTACAACTGGACATAATATCAAATCATCCACCTTATATCTGGACCCACCTCTCTTTAGCAAGTCTATCTTCTGGATCCGTGTCATCCCAAATACTCTCCTCCTCCATATCTTCTTCTTCCTCTGAGTCATGCATCTGGGAAGCTTCCTCCTGTTCCATAAGAGCAGCACTGTGGTAGTTAGCAAACAGGTGCTCCTGGACTTTGGCCGGAGGGACGTCCATCTTGGGTGGAGCAGGGGTCCAGTAGAGGCGAGACTCGTCACTCTTGATTGGCATTTGGGCACCGGAGATAAATAGGTCTGATTCATCAAACTGAAAGTGAAATCAAGTTTTGACATGAGCAATATCAATATTTCTGCAGCTGCAGATTTTTATTTTACAATGACTATGACAAACCAGGTATAATGCTAACAATACTTGAATTATTTTAAAGCTGAGACTGTTCCTAGGGCCTGGGTCATTACACTGGTGAAAAACAATTATTAACAAAGCCACAGCTTCATGGAACATCAGCAATCAAAACTGTTTACGTCTTGATCATCAGTCTCAAAGGCAATATTTTGTTTAGTATTAATTTTTTAGCCCATGATAGTAATTTCAGTGACTTACATATTCAGACTTGGTTATTCTGTCTTTATATATTCCACAACCAAAATTATCAAGACAGATTAATGACAGCAATATACAGTCCGTGAAGTTACTCTATACCCACCACTTGTTGAGCTCTAGCCTGCCATGCCTCAAAGGAGTCTGGGTCTCCCTGCTGGGACTGTCCCCCCAGGGTGAGCAGGCCAGAGGGCTGGGCTTGGGCCCTGAGGTGGCCCTGTGACTCCTGGCCCTGAGCAGCTGCCTGGTATGCCTCCTCAAGAATTCTCTGTGCAGCTGCGGACTGTTCTCGTTCCATGTGGTCCCTCTCCCGGGCGCGGTCTGCCAGGAGGACTGCAGTGTCGAATGAGCTGGGCTTGATAGAGCTCTGGGAACGGCTGTGGTACTGGAGGTAGAAAGTAGACTTTGTAACGTCTATTAAAATACCCTTGGATTCTGCTTGAAGAAAAAAAATTGGTCTTCACTTTTATATTTAGAATTTGGTATAATTTAGTTCAATATAAACTCATAGTAGTCTGCTTAAATAAAGTATTGGTCTAAGACATAAAGTGATGTCTTTTTTTTTTAGAAAATAGGCACAGCAATTGTACTGTTTCTCATTAATCTGGGTCCAAAGGATATTGAATCTTAGTTCTGCTTTAAATGCAGNTCATCCCATTCTAACCAGAGCAAAGGGTCGCGTCGCAGCGTAACACAGGACGATTTAATAACCCACAATTAAGCGAGATCATATATCACGCCTGTTTTCACACATGATTGTGTGTTGCCGAAAGGCGAGAAACACCCCGCCGTCACCCTATTTGCGTAAGCCCACCCCTTCTTACTCATCGCTGCATGTGTGTAAGATGTACGTAAGATGTGAGTAAGATGTACGTAAGTCGGCATTGTCCTTTAGCCTACGGATTTTCACACAATTCTTTTGTCCTCTTAAGGGGCGTACGTAAGACAAGTTAATCGTTTTTGAAGTAAGCGTATCCGTAATGGCATCTTCTCTGCACAAAACTGTATTTTCAGGAAAGAATTTTGAACATGCAAACAAAAGATTTTGTAGAGTGTTTCTTGCTGAACAAGTTTCAACTTACGTGCTTCTCCGGTTAATACTGTGAGTGGATTACTCCAATTTCCAGGGCCTGCAACAGTATAAGCATGCACCTCAATGGTGTGATTTTGATAACTAAGAAGATCTGGGAGAGCTTTAAACTCATCAGTTGCATTATGGAAATTGCTGTCCTGATTATCAGTTACACGAAGCTGATATCCAGTTATAATTCCACGAGGATTGTCTGGAGCCTTCCATGTTATGTTCAGGCCAGTTTTTCCATTCTGGGTGATGTTGACTGCCATCACATTTCTTGGCTCAGAAGGTGCTAAAACAGCAAAACAATCAAAATATTCAATCTGTGCTCACATAGATTCTGTTCTCTTATTTTTTAAATTTCACTACATTGTTTGAATGTTGCTTTAAAAAGAATCAATTTCAAAACCTAAGCATAAGTTCAACAGTGACATATCATGGTTCATGGTGAAAATACATCTTGTATGAATTTTTAGTTTTAAACTTTCCATTTTCAATAAAGACTCATGTAGTGTCTTACCTTATGGCTTTTTAACAAATCAACATTTTTTATGAAAATATTCTAAGTATGTTTTAAACAGAAATTTTCAGCAATTGACTTTATCTGCTTTACTTTTCTCTACAACAGATAAAGTCAATGATTGTGAACAGTATCAAATATAAAATGGGTCTTGAGTGACTTACTATCTTCCAAAGTTTGCTCTCTCATCTCTTTGGATTTCCCTCTCCCAACTGATGTAAATGGATAAACTCTAAAAGTGTAGTTGGTGTAGGGTACCAGGTTCCTTACAGTATAGTCAACACGTCCATGTATACTGAAGCTCTGAATTGTATCTGTTGAAGTACAGGATGGTGCTTCTTCGCTTTTTTCAATGGTTTTGGATATCTTTATCAGACAAAGCATAAATTATCATACCTACATTTGCTTAAATTGGTGACTTGTGAATCAGACATTTCCCATCTCAAAATCCCAATACTTATATATATTCATTTTTATCTTTCACTTATTTATTGATTATTTATTTGTTATTTATTAGTGATTTCAGTGAAAACATATCAGTCTTAAAAAGTCTGTATTGAGATGGCCCTAGTTTGAAGATTCAAATTAACAAAATGCTACAAGAAAAATCACACTGAATATATTATAGTCCAAGTAACATAAAATTTTCATTAACATATTCTTATAGGGCAAAAAAGAAAAAGTTTTACACAATGTTCTTCACAAACTTCTTTTTATGTGGTATGCAGTTTTTTGTTTGAAAAATTTGTCAAATATGGTAAAAAGGAGTCAATTAAAATATGATCAAGAGGAGTCCATTATAAACCCTCTTCTCATTATAGATACTTCCCTCACAACCCAATAAGCAGTAGAATTGTCTTGTTGCCAAGGATGCAAGATGGTGGGCATTAAAGACCAATTGGGTCTAGTAAAAGTTAGTACACAGGAATGGTTAAGATGAGTCTACTTTGTACTCTGAAACTCTTTACTTACTGCTGGACAATCTATGCAATTGAAAATCACTTGCTGTATACAGCTTTCATCTTCCAATAAAACATGCAGTTCATAGGAGATAACCTCTCCATTTGGCTCAATTGGCTCTTCCCAACCTATGTTCATTGACATGGAGGTATTTTGGCTGACTGTTAAGTTAGAGACTTCCCCAGGCACTGATTATGATAGAGAAATATGGAAAATACAATTTCTGCAAGGTAACTAAAAATGAAACATGCTATCCTAACTCAATGATCATATCTACTTAAAGGCAGTTCAGTCATTCACATAAAGTAAATCAAGTGTAAAGTAAACCATTTGTAATTTAAGGGTTCTGTAAAGATTTTTAAGTTGATATTTTGGTCCTGCATGTGTCAAAACAGGAAGAAGATAATAAAAATATGCATCCCAAACCAACTTACCAGCTTCATTTGTTCTGACGGTAATGTTGTTTGAAGCTTCTCCAGTTCCATTGCTGTTCATAGCTTTTACTTGGAATTTATAATTTGCACCTAAAAATCCCCAAAATAGTTAATTTAAGATTAAAAACAGACAAGTCATTGTTTTAATAAAAATTAAATTAAAACTAGAGGATCAGAGA